GTGAGGGCTGAGGGCGGGGAACCCTTTCCCCTGCGCGCGCCCCCCGCGTCCCGGCTCGCAGGAGGGGCAGGCCGTGCGGCTCCCCCACCCCTCCCGCCGCCTCGGGCTTTGGGGCCCCCGGTGGGGAGCAGGGGGCTGGTGAGCCGAGGAGCAGGGGTGTGGCCAGCGGGGGCCCCGGGGAGTGAGTCACACACACACTCTGCTCGCCCAGTCCCGGGGCCCAGCACGGTCCCAAGGCCGAGCACAGCCCGCCGAAGAAGAGTGTCCGGGGGTCTGGCATGAGGACCGTGGGGAGGGGCTGCAGCCGGGTTCTGTGGTGAGGGCGGTAAGCATGCTCTGGGGACACTCCCCCCTGGAGAGAGGGGTGGGCTTGGAGTCAGGGCTAGCCCTGGCTGGCACGCAACCAGCTCCCCAGCCCTGCCCGTACCTGCTAGGAGCTGCCCAAGGGGCCTGGCTTCTTCCTCCTGGCAGCCCCTCACTCGGGGCCTCACAGCCAGCCATGCAGAGCTCGGTTCAGCTTTCCACTCCCTCGGTCCCCCCTTGGCAGAGTTTGTCAGGTTCTTGGGGGTCCCTTGTGTCCTTCGAACTTAGTATCCAGGCTGTGCTTCCCAGGCCTGCCTCCTGGCCTGAGCTACCCCTGGGCCCTGACCCCATGGGGCTGGTGGCTCCAGTCGTCCCCAGGACCAGCCCGGGATAGAAATGGCATTTCCTCTTGGCCAGGCTACAGCTGTTTTTGTTGTCTGAGTTCTCAAGCGCTTCCTCTGGGGATGGCAGGGAGGGTAACCAGACTCCTAGGGACCCCTGTTCTCCCTCCTAGCCACTCACCCTTCTTCCCCTGTCTCTTTGATCTTCTTCCCGTGCTGGTTCGGCCTCCCCTGCCTGTCCCCAGGACAGAATGACTGAGAACATGAAGGAGTGCTTGGCCCACACCAAGGCTGCTGTAGGGGACATGGTGACAGTAGTGAAGACAGAGGTCTGCTCACCACTCCAGGACCAGGAGTATGGCCAGCCCTGGTGAGGCCTGTGGGCGGTGACTTGAGGCTGGGAGGGGGTGGCTGGACTGGATTGGTTGGGGACCCAGGGAATGGCCACCTTCCTTACTGGGTAGCTCCTGGGGTCAGAGGTGAGCAGGAGTTAGAACTTGGGCAGAGTTTCCCAGGGCCCAGCTCGCAGGAATTCACATGCTCCACCACTTCTGCAGCAAATGACCAGCATGTTGGAGTTCTTTGCCCATCTGCAACCCCCCTGCCTCCTGGACAGGTGTCCAGCCTGTCTTCCCCCTGGGCTGTCTCTGATGGCTTCTTTGCTTTTCTTCTGTGGACCCTTGCCCTGGCCAGCTCTAGGAGACCGGAGCCCTCTTCTGTGGAAGTTGAACCCAAGAAGCTGAAGGGGAAGCGTGAACTCTTCGTGACCAAAGGCTTCCAGCAAGTGGACTTCTGGTGTAAGTGGAGTGGAGGCTCTGGGCAGCTCCTTCTTTCTCCACGTGCTCCATGTGCCACTGGCTTGGGAATACTGTGCCCGAGCTCCGGTGAGAGGCTCTGAACCAGGCACACAGGGTTCAGCCTCTCTTAGGTCTTAAAGCCCACAGATGTGCAATTCCAGCTCAGGCCCGTGGCCCCACAGCCATATTTTACTTGAGACAAAAGCCTTGACATTGGCAGCATGTCCTTCACCCCCCAGGGAGGATCATAGGTTATTGCTGCCAATGGCCCTGGCCTGCTGCTGGCTGGGCAGGTCTAGGGCTGGAAGGTCTGATCCACGTGCGGTGTGTTTATTGCTCATGTGGCCCCTAGGAATTCCCCAGCCACTGTGTGGAGTCTGTCACACCATCACTGAACTGTCCCTCTTCTTCACATCCCTCCAGTCTGTGAGTCCTGCCAAGAGTACTTCGTGGATGAGTGCCCGAACCACGGTCCCCCCGTGTTTGTGTCTGACACGCCAGTGCCTGTGGGCATCCCAGATCGGGCAGCCCTCACCATCCCACAGGGCATGGAGGTGGTAAAGGAAGCTGGTGGGGAGAGCGATGTGCGGTGTATAAACGAGGTCGTCCCCAAGGGCCACATCTTTGGCCCCTATGAGGGGCAGATCTCTACCCAGGACAAGTCAGCTGGCTTCTTCTCATGGCTGGTGAGTGTCCCCTGTGCTATTATTCCTTGGGAGAGGTTGATAAGGGACTTTGAGAGAAACCAGCAGGGGATAATTTATGCATGCACAACTGTGGTTACCTATGGCTTGTGGATGATGGGTCTTGCTATTCTCTTGTCCCAGCCATGTGTCCTTTGGTGTCCAAGGGCCATGCTAAGGGATCTCACTTCAGCCGCAAGCAGATTAGTCATCACCAGGTAGAACTTAAGGCTGATTTTCCCAAGTATCCTCATGTGTGTATGTGCGCCTGGGTATGCCTGTGCAGGTGTGCGTGCGCAGGTGTGTGCACGCGCACACATCCAGCTGTCCGTTCAGTAGTATTTACAAAGACCTCAGCCAACCGCTTCTTCAAAGGGGAAGGTTTGTAGCTGAGGACTGCAGGGCCACAGAACATGGTATTTGGCTCAGAAAATGGGCATGCCAGGTATTGGAGGGAAGGTCTCCACAAGACCGACGTGGTTCCCATGCTTGGGAACAAATGGTCTTTTGAGAAGATAGGCATTGAACAAGCCTATTATTTGTTCAACTAATTGGTTCTTGCCGCCCAAGAGGGAGCACAGCACACTTTGGCACACTGTGCTTGTGGTACCTGGAACCTGCACTGGGAATGTCAGCAAGCTTTGCTGTTTACTGTCTAATGGCTTTGAATGTGCCACTTTCTTCTCTGGGCCTGTTTGGTGACTCAAGACTAAGGCGAACTGCTGGTGAAGGTTCTCACTGGCTTCGCACCGTTCTTGGGGGTGTAATTGCTGTCATTGCTAAGTCACTAAGGCAGTCGTCATTGCTTGATATTACTGCTGTTGGTTTGAGTAGGAATGGCCCCCATAGACTAATGTGCTTGAATGCTTGGCCCATAGGGAGTGGCAATACTAGGAGGTGTGGCTTTGTTGGAGGAGGTGTGTCACTGTGGAGACCCTTTGAGGTCTCCTGGGCTCCCTGTGTGGCGTGGTCTCCTGTTGCCTGGGGATCAAGATGCAGAACTCTCAGCTCCTTCTCCAGCAGCATGTCTGTCTGCATGTTACCGTGCTTCTCAGCATGCTAATAAACTAACCCTCTGAAGCTGTAAGCCAGCCCCAGTTAAATGCTTTCTTTATAAGAGGTGGTCAGGGGAATAGAAACCCCAACTAACACAGCCTGGCTGGGTGTTTTCAGTCTGAGGCTTGGAGAATGAGTCACAGTGGTCTCGGAAGGGAGCTAGAACTTGGTTCTGTGCACTCAAGAGATGGTGAAGAAGACGGCTGTGGTGGCAGTGGAGGTTAGCCGGGAGATGGCAGGGGTGGTTTATGATACATTTCCCAAGCCTGAGGACTGAGGGAAGCTGGTGAGGTGGCCAAGCAGTGGTGTGGCCAGGTCAGGCTGTGGCACAGGAAGTCTTGGTCTCGGAGGAGGCTGGGGAGAGGGTCCATGCCAGCTGAGAACAGTGATGGATTGAGGTCTGGAGGTGGGCGAATCTGAGACTCAAGAGGGAGAGAGAGCCCTGAGGTTCGTGCGATGGGCAGAGTGCCAAAGTGAGGAGTAGGGGCTTTCAAAATCATGAGGAGGGGTTCCTTGGACTGCTCATGGGAGGAGAGGCAGGCGGTGGGGGTGGGGCATAGGATGGTAGAGGAAAGCAGCAGGGTCATTCATGCCACATCTGTGCCTCTACCTGAGTGCACAGGCCCTGTGTCAGTACAGTTTAGATGTGAATCCTGCCTGCATAGGCAGGAGATGGAACTAGCCAAAAAATAATAAAAATACACATAAAACTACTGGCAGGTGTTGGTGAGATAAAAAGCTGGGAGAAAGTAAAGAACCAGGGGAACCCATGTGACCAGAGGTCAGAGGAGGTGTCCTGACAGTAAACTGGGGTTGAAGGAAGAGCACAGTCACCTGTGTTATGGTTCTCCAGAGTAATAGAATTTATAGGATGATTATCTCTATCCATCCATCCACCCATCCATCCATCCATCTATCCACCCATCCATCTATCCACCCATCCATCTACCATTTATCCACCATCTATCCACCTATCTATCCATTTATTCCTCTATCCATCCATCTACCCATCCACCCATCCATCCATCCATCCGTCATCTATTTATCCACCTATCTATCTATCCATCCATCCACCTAATCATCCATCCATCTCTTCATCCATATATCATCTATCCATCCATCCACCCATCCACCCATCCATCCATCCGTCATCTATCTATCCACCTATCTATCTATCCATCCATCCATCCATCCACCTAACCATCCATCCATCTCTTCATCCATATATCATCTATCCATCCATCCACCCATCCATCCATCCGTCATCTCTCTATCCACCTATCTATCTATCCATCCATCCATCCATCCACCTAACCATCCATCCATCTATCCATCTAT